TTTTTTTGAACAGAGGCGATGAATATGACGAGTATTGTTATTGACAAGCATTATTCGATTTTGCTGAAATTGTGATTGAAGATTGAAAGTGGAATATTCAATATTAAAATTAAGAAAAAGAGAAGTCAACGGCTGCTAATAATTTTTTGGAAACGATAAGAGTCCAAGAGACAGATCATCCATCACTCGTTTGTCCTCCTTTTTTTTCTTTTTTTCCTCTGTTCTTTGTTTTTACTGCTCACTTGCCTTTCAATTTGGTGCTTGCTTGTTTCATCTTCTTTGGCATGGCCTCTGCTGCTATGGAACGGAAATTGCAAAATGCAAAATGGACTCTGCATCAAATGGGAAACGGTCTTCATCAATCCTGCAGGTGGGGATCGAAGAAGATTTTGACTATATTGAGTAGCCAGGAGAAAAGGAGGGAGGAGGGAGGAGGGAGGAGAGAGGAGGGAGGAGGGAGGGAAGGAAGTGTGATAGGAAATTGGCTGGGGGAAGGCAATTGAAGGAAAGAAAAAAGAGGGGAGCAGCGGAAGGAAGAAATGTGGCAGTGAGTACGTTTCTTTTTCCTTATCACATTTATCTGATATTCTGGCCACAGACACACACACACACACACACACACACACACACACACACAGGGTGGTGGGGGGATGGGGGGGAGACAGACAGACAGACAAACAGACAGGTGCACACACACACACACACACACACACACACACAACACACAGAGAGAGAGAGAGAGAGAGAGAGAGAGAGAGAGAGAGAGAGAGAGAGAGAGAGAGAGAGAGAGAGAGAGGAGTGAAGATTCTGGTAGGTCATTGAAGCATACACCGCCATGATTTGTCTTTTGTGCAGATCATATGAGCGTTTGCGTTTCTCGTAAAGTGAATTATGATTCCGCTGTTTTTTTTCTAACCTACTAAACACTTTTTTTTTTCCTTTTTTTCCTTTTTAATTCTAAACACTATTCTGCCTTGAACCAGTCGACATTTCCCCTGGTGGGGTTATGTTTTTTTTTTTTCAACGCTACGCCACCCAAAACGGTCACAAAGATATGGAAAATTGGTGAATTAATCCGCGAGTGAGTCGGGTGTATGCTAGGAGTTTGGCCCATTTTGTTGGTTTGTTTGTTTTTGAATAATGTGTCACTGTGCATCTTCAACAGTGCCGTGATGGACACCAGTGCAGCTCATTCATAACTTACTGATTACCTGACCATTCGAACCACTGCTAATACCTCGCTGTGCTCTTGCCCTGGTTCGCTGCCAACCGCGCGTGTCACTGCCTCATCGATGCCCTCTCCGTGGCCGCGACCTGGCCTCTCGCTTTTTTTTTTTAACGAGAAACACCTCGAGCTGATACTAGGGGTGGTGGTAGGAGCAGGCACCGCTAGCACTCCCGGGGAGGCTCCATCTACTGGTGGGGACCACCACCTGCTGGAAACTGGGTCCAGTGTCCCTGAACATTGTAGTAGTTTGTTTGAACGGACGTGTGACTGTACTGCAGGACCCACCTATAAAGAAAGAAAGAAATTTGACTAGGTAGAGAGCTACCCTCTCCACTGGTCCATCCGCAAAATGAGGTGCGTGACGGGTGGGCGTCTGATCTGGGTCTTCAGTGTCACGTCACTTTCCTCGGTTTCTACCTCGGAGTCCCGTCTATGTCCCGCTGGGCCCACTCAGTGGGATCAGCGGAGTATTCCTCCTCGCGGTATGCGACGGTGAGCCGGAGACCACAGGAGGTTTTGTCCCGCCTGAACCTGCTTTAGCTGTCCTGCAGACAGCTAGCTTGACCGGCGGCCATGACACACTTTCTCTCCCCTGTCCGGTGCGCCCGTTTCTTGATAGATCTTGGCCTCCGTGTATTGCTCAGTCCCTTCGTTTTCCTCTAGGCTACCTGTAAAATGATATGTTCTGTTTTTTGTTTGCTTTCATGGGGGAAGCGGTTGACGCCTGCAAGCGTTTCAGGGCTGTATGTTGGGGAAGGAGCGTCACACCAAAATATCCCAACCTGAGATCCCCTCGATCAGCAAAGGAGAGTATGTTTGAATGCAGGTATACAGGTTCATAATCGAGTTATCTGTTTTTGTCGGGCCACAAACCCGGATCACCAATTGAGTACAGAGCATCGGACACAACACGATCCAAGTGAAGGACGGCCCGATAGCAACGAAATAGCTGAGGACGGCAGCGTTTTTTCAAATTGAAGAAGCGTGGCCCGACGGATAATCGAGTTATCTGTTTTTTGTCTTTTATGTTTGCCCTTTCTTTTTTCATTTCTTTTCATGAAATTTTTTGATATGACCTGAACCAGCGAGATAATCCCAGTGAACAGGTTCGAAACGTTTTTTGAAACTCGGCAAGGACCGGGAGTAGGGAAATAGTATAAAAAGAAGCACCGAGGGTGAACTCGGTAGGCAAAACTGGAGTAGAAGGACTGTCAAAGCGCGGCTCATCTGCGCTGGCTACAATGTAATTTGTTTCGCGATATGTAAAACTCCGAGCTACATTGTTTTTTACGATCTCTCATACAGGTTCATAAGCCGTTGAGGAGGGGGGGGGGAGAGCGTCATGAAAACCTGCATCTCCACGGATAGAAATTGCCATTGCAGGCCCCACTCCTCTACCCTACGGGGGTAGTATAGCCAAGGAAATGAAACGGGCCGAGTATCCCTCTCCAGTTGCCAAGCGGTGAAATCGTAGCAACCCTGGCCCCATTAATTGACGAGGGGTCGGCTCTTGTTTTTGCGAAACCTTTTTTTTTTTTTTTTTTTTTTTCCTGGTGTGTGTGTGTGATTGTGTGTGAAAGCCCTTTCACAAGTCCACTATCCTGGCGGTGGTAAGAGAACCGCCGGGATTGAGGTCTTACCCGGATAAGATTTTCTCAGAATTATCAAAGGTGGAGATGAGAAAACTTCAAGGCCTTGGAAGGCCATGCATACCTCCACCCCTCTTAATCTTGTGAGCCCATTTTTTTTTTCAAATAAGGCTAAGTCCTTAAGCCCAACCAATTCAATTACCTGTCATACTTGGAGAGCGAAAGATGAAAGTTTTTGGAGGGGGGGATGAAAGAATTTGAGAGAAGAATATCGTGCAGTCAAAAAAAAAAAAAAAAAAAAAAAAAAAAAAAAAAAAAAAAAAAATCATACTTTCATATCTCGGACGGAAGTCACGGAACATATTGGACTCGTTGTTGTTGTTGTTGTTGTTGTTGTTGTTGTTGTTTTTTGAACTTCGTATACAGGAAACCTAATTAACGAGGTGATAAGAGCATCCCCGGTAAGTAGGTTGTCTTGTAGTCTTGCAGATGAGATAAGAATATATATAACTCAAAAAAAAAAAAAAAAAAAAAAAAAACAAGGATATGTATTATATATAACTCGCCCAAAAGAAGGGATGTAAATGCAATTGACGCGAACG